TTTTAAACGAAATTTTAAAATCATTCATGTTTAGGTAAATTTAAAGTAATAAAAAACCCTTTATGTTGAAATCTATAATTAAAAATGTTCCAAAACTCTCAAAACAAGTATTTTAATTCATAGCATCCATCTTTGAACTGCTTGTTTGCAAGCAAATTTTTAAGACCAACTCCATAAGCAATTTTACTAGAAAAAGAAGTGACAACTTATAATTTATTTTATAAACTAAACATTTTTCCAAGAAGATTAAATTTTATTCTAGTTTGCATTTGAGTTGTAATTTATGACTTTTTTTTACTGACAAAATTGAGCAGAAATACTTTAATCGCGTCTTTCACTTTCTGGTTTGGCTACATATATCACAAAGAAGTCACATTTGTCCTCTGAATTTCTAAAGATTTCTAATACCATTTGGAATTTGATTTGAGGAATTCTTGTGTATGAGTGTGTCATGGGCATACTATAAGCACTGGACCTTGTAAACTTCTACTGGTCAGCATTCATAGCAATCCCATTTGATCAACCCTGAAACAGAAAGAATAAATACGCTAGAAATTTTTTGTTTCCTTAGGCACCAATATAAATTACACTGGAGTTATCATGCAACATATACTTGTGACCATCTAACATGAATTTAGAAATACATGTGCTTAAAATGAAGCATAACTCTCATAAACATCACTTCTCTATTGAGGAGTTGAAACAAAAGTTCTTCCATTCTTCCAGCAAGAATTGCACACTTTACTATGTACAGTATATTTAATGTATATATATATATTAGTTTTCAAATCACTTACACTTGGCATATGTTCAAGAATAATATTGAGGAAGAAAATGGAACAGAATTAAAGAAGGTTGCTTAATCCAGGGGTTTCATGTATAATCTTTAGACAGAGAACATTCACCACGTCAGACCACATTTTGGCCTACAGCTCTCCTTTCTCCTGCGGCCAATTGATCCTACTTCTATAGAGAATATATTTTGAACATGCAGATTGTACTAGATAATTTGTCCCTCTCTGGATATTTGGTACATCCAGTTTCACCCCAGTTATGAAATTCATTTCAGTGCTTACCTTTCCTCATTAGCACTGATTCTTAAGACAGAATATGGTTCCAGATACTATGCTAGTGTATGTTAGACTTTCAATGAAGGCTATTTTTATTGAATATTTTTAAAATAAATTCAAAACCGTCAGTAATTATTAGAACAATAGGTTAATGTGAACTAAAACTTTGCATTATATGCTGTAATTTGTCTTCAGCAAATAAAAACATACAAGCAAATGAAAAATACGTAGTTAGGAGTCCAGCGACCCAATTTATATGATCGTATTTCTATATATGCTTCTGGTAGCATATGCAATAGAGCAAAAAGACTAGACAAAATCTTAAATTGTTATAATTCAAATTAATTCTGAAGAGCCTAAAGGCGATCACATTACACTGTCTTTTCATACTGGTTGATGAACACCAGCCTTTCAGTTTTTCTTCTTCTTTTCTACATTTCATCCAATTTCCTGTTATTTTTTTAACCAGTCCTGAATACAATTTTTATACTAGTCCTGAACACAATTTGAAGCACTTTATGATCTTTCAAGTCCAGTCATACTTTAATACATTTTTCAATATTTATAAATCATAACTCTTCCATTTGGCGGTATATACTCAGAGTATAATCTCCTCTGTTGTGAGCACTTAGTCAAGGACCCAGGGGAGAACTTTTATACATGGCAAGGCTGATACATATCTCTATATAACATGGCTTGTGTGAATATTTGACTCTTTACCTCATGCTTGTATCTTACCCCACTGAAAGTACTTTCCTTCAATTTTGCTGTATTTTTTTGTAGATAAACTGTATTTTCTTTCTTATCTTCCTCTCCTCCTTGTCCCTGTTCAGACAGCTTAACAGCACAGTCTGATGAGTAGATGACTTCCAGATCTCAGTTAATAAACATCACAGGTACCTTTGATATTCTAAACACTTTCACAAGGCATAGGCTAGGATTTGTTGGGTTAGTTAGTCTTTGACATTTCTTTGAAGATACAGTCTTTTACATGTTTGTGTCTGCCAGTTAATAGTGCTGTTATTGCAGAGGCTTTTGCTAATTCATAGAAATAACTGATTGCAAATTTTCTAAGTAGAGAAACCAAATATTTATATATCCTTTACCATTTCAAAGAATATATTTTGGTACCTTGCTAAACTGCCAATTCTTTCTTTCTTTCTTTCTTTTTTTTTCTTCCCCAAAATACAGAACTGGAAATAGTAAAATAATTCCTAAAAATATTATATTCAGTCTTCTGCTTCATTTTCACAGTTTCTCTGTCTTATACAGTACTCCTACAGCCCTGGTGAAAATAAAATCCTGCGTGGAAAATGTGCGAGTTGAAAGTTCTCAAGTTTCACATTAAATAGTACAGAACGTAAGAATATTCATTTAAAGTGTACAATTTCTCTGTTAATTTCACATGCCCTACAGGCTGATTGTTTACTATTTTAATTAATCCGAAACCAGGTGTACTTAAAAAAAAAAGAAAGATAATATTAACATATTTTTCATGACATTAAGATACACAAAACAGTGCAGTGATCTACAATTTCTAAATCTTAATTATATAAAGGGAATGATCCTGCTAAATATTATGTTTTCTAATGTGAATCATTGTTTTGGTGAGTAGCTGCTGCATTTTCCATTTTGTAGTTTCTTAGTCAATCTCCCACAATGTTTCAAAAATGGATAAAAGTTTTGGTTTTTTTTTTTCCTTGCCTATTTGTCTTCTAAGGTGTGAGTATCAGGAAGAGCGTAATAGGTTTGCTTAATCTTCATGCATATGAAGTATTAAATGGCTTATCTCCTACCTTTGGCAGCACAAAGGATTAGAGTAAGACCCTTCATACTGGCACTTCCCTGATGATTTCTCTGTTATCTAGTAACAGTATTCCCTGGGAACACAATACTCTTCTTTCTTTTTCTTGCCACCTCCTTTCTCTTCAAACACCTCATTACAGCAGCCATAAAAAGTTAAGTAGTTTAAGTTTTGTTGGAAGATTTTTTTTGTCAGTTTTTACCAGTTTTAGGAGTGCATCCTGAAACATGAACTACATTCCTCTCAAATTCCATACAAAGTGGGCTTTTTCTTTTTTTTTTTTTTTCCCCTGAAGTAACTAATAATAAATATCAATTTTGCATCTGTAAATTTGGTTTTTTTATTGATAATCCTGACTGCATATGTACAGAGTAGGTTTAAAGTTGGCTGTAAGCTATCTTTATTAAACTTCTTCATCTTGGGCATTCCCAGAATGTAGCTATAGGAGTCTGTCTAAACTGTACTACTTTCCCAGCTTTCTACAAAGGCATTGAGCTTGTCAGACTCATTGCAGTAGATACACCTTCATAAGAATTCTTAATTACTTCAGGTTTATGAAATTGTACTTTTAAAACAGCTTGTGTAAATGCATCATTCTTTTGTTATAAAAAATACAGAACAAAGATAACAGTTCACTACATTTATTTTTGTAACAAATTCCTGTCAGTAAGGATGAGAATTAAGAAAGGCATCATGCCATGCACTTTTCATCTATGCCTCTGAGATTCTTCCTTCTGTCCCTTTTAGTGTTATTTCCCATCAATGACAGCATCTTCCTCTGGGAGAAGGAAGCCTTGACAGGGTTTATATTATTTTGAGCTATGTTCAGCCTGTATTTCCTTCAACCATTCCAGTCATTTACATTGCTTCTGCTGTGGATGGTAACATGATTGTGCATCAGTCATTGCATGGATTTTCATTCAGCTTTCTCTTCTCAGTCTTTTCCCATCCTGCTGTCACTTCTCTCCAGCAGGGATTCTGTACTGCTTCTGCACTGCTTTTCTCTTCTATATACCACCGGTTTTATCATAAACTAATATGTATTTACTGTTGGAAATGTCAAATGTCATATCTTCCCAGTCCCTTAAATGTACTGCTGACATTGTGCTATAATGGTGTCAAGTTGGCTTTGTTGATTTTCAATACCTTATAAAAATCACTAACAACTACCTAAGGAACTCACCTTTCCCTAAGCTTCTACAGTCATTTGCAGAGATAAAGCCATTTTGCTTTGTTAACATAGTCTGCATCCAAGGTAATGGCTGATCTTGCTTTGGCTCTCATTTATTCCTTCCATAAAAAACTACCTCCAAGCAGCTGGAAGCTTATCTGTTTGTACTAGTGCGAATAGTGAAGGATTTGCATTGTTTTTTCTTTATTTACCTGATTTCATGGCATCCTGAAAATTTAACAGAAGTGTAAATATTATGGAATATGATGCAGATTTATTAATATTATTCAAGTTTGCTGCTTAATACTGTCTCTTGTTGTTTCCAATAGAAGAAGATAAAAAAAAAAACAAAACAATTTTTAAAGTCATCTGATATGTTCAGAAACAAATAGGAATAGCACAATGACCTCCTTAACAGGACTTTAACCTGAAATATTCTATCCTCCTAATTTAGGTCAAATAAGCTCTTTATTGTGTGCATGTGAATCTGCATCCTTATTTAATTATTCTCAGAATGAAGCTATTGTTAAGCCCCTACAGTTTAGCACAGTTCAGCACATATTTCCTGCTGCTTACAGGAGCACACTAGGGAATGTACTTTAATATCTCTTCACACTCATTAAAATGAAAACTTCTCAAGAACAAGGATATGTTACTGACACGAATGAATAAATTTTAATCACAAATTGCACAAATGAAAATTTGAGCTGTTTAAGAATACTGTCTAAATATTTCTGTATGACATTTATTGTATCTGAATAAACATGTTGGGGGAACCATTTGCATATACTGCAGTAATGGGTATTAATGGGTATGCAACTGCACAGTTGAAAAACAAGAAATGTTGACAGCTTATATATTTGCAAAATCTCACGATTCTGCCTCGGGTACATTTTTAAAAATATGCTACAATGCTAAAAGAAATGTATTATTCTTTTCTTTCCCCCTTTTGTAGATATTTTTAAATGCAGATACAATCCGCCTTGGAAATCTACCAGTGGGCTCCTTCCCCTCCTCTTCACCGAGCTCTTCAGCTCCTCGCCAGACTATCTATGAGATCTGCATCTGTCCCAATGGTAAACTTTACCTGTCCCCAGCAGGAGCAGGCTCCACATGTCAATCCAGTAGCAACATCTGCTTGTGGAGCTAGAAGGACTCCAATTTATCCTCACACCAGAATAGCCTTTTGTTACTATCCCTCTGCTTCACAGTTCTGCTCGGTTTCCCTTGTGACAAGTTCAACGCTTCAAATGGCCTGCAGAGCAACTTCTTCCAGTGTAAGCAGGAATACAGCGCTGCCTTCTCTCGTGGTTTGTGTTACCACTCAACGTAGAGATGGGAGTGAGATATTCAGAAATCAATGTATTCTTCATCAGGAAACCTGGAACATAATATCACCTTTTGTCCAAAAGGGAGAATAACACAGGTGCCTTTGCTACATGAAGTGAAGCACATAGTTTTAGATTTTTGCAGGACCTGGATATGAACTGCACATATATATACAGTACATAAACAAATTTGCCCAGAATCTGATGGTGAGATGAATTGGTTATCCCTGTATGATAATTAACTCTATTGTCTGAAAGCACAATTTTCCATTCATCTTTTTTGGATGTAACTTTTATCCCTGAATTTTAAAATTTTGAAGCATTGTGTGATGCTTGCTTTACTAAACAATTAAATTCAGTAAATGGTTTTTAACACAAAAAGAGACAGAATCCCTCCCTGAGTTTGGTTTCTTTAGAAGTGTGTTGTTACTCTTTGTCTACTCAGTCTAGGTTTTTGTACACTAGGTAAATTTTGGAAGTACTCAGCAATATTACCTTTCAGAGTGAAAAAGACATCTGTTCTTGTTTGTCTGATCTGAATGGCCATATATATTAATTTTGGCTACTGCATGTGAAGCGATTGCTTTCAGTAGAACATACAGGTTTTGGGAAAGAACAGGGTAAAGAGGGAAATACTGATGATATGTCTTTTGACCAGTATATTGCTCTTCATAAAGTAATTATGGCAAATGAAAAATTGGCATAATGAAAAAAAAATCTTCAAAGGTACATCTGTCAATCTTCTAACTAACTGCTGCCATTTGAACATAGCATAAACATTAGTACTAATGCAATGTGTAATACTGAGAAGCAGTTCACTAACAAGTGGTATGACACTCATATTTTTTATTCTCTTGTTTACCATCTGCTGCTAAGGTTTCAAAATAACAGTATTACATATATATACAAACATATATCAAATTACATTAAATATGAAGAAGATACATTATATAAGTACATTAATATTATACTGACTTCATCAGGTCTGTGTTTAAATTATGCAGCCCTATTTGCACCAAGATCTCACTGCGACTTCTTATTTTTGACCAGTTTAATATGGGATTTCTTACTTGTATCAAGGTTCATACTTGATTCATTTGATTTGTAATAGAAATCTTATAAAAAAAAGCTTTGGTATACTGCTACATAAATTTATCACAACATTGATTAACAAGAGTATCTTGAAACTTACAGAACCCAGGAATGTAAAACAGTATAAAAATGTTTCCTATTCTGGAAGATGGCTTGATTACATAAGGTAAGTACGCTTTTTAATACTATCCTTTAAGTTACATCACCTAGCGTGTAGCTTTAGAGGCTTCTGAATTTAAGATCATCAATTCAGTGACAGCTTTTGCAAGGTAACTCTGAAGGGCAAAGAGTGAAAGGTGAGTATTTCTACAGAGTATATTTTTTTTGTCTCTGGAAAAAAATAGGAAAAGAAGTAACCAAATGTTTTGATTACCTATTTTATTACCACCTAATAAGGTTGATTTTGTTTTCACTTCAGCTGAAATTCACTCCTATGCAGAAGACCAGCACAAGATGCGTGCATGACTTAACTGGTACTTGTCTTTCCACTGGCTCTCTTCAGAGGCGTGAATTTCACCCCATAGCAAGAATCCTATACTTTTGTTTTCTAGCAGTTAAATCAAGATTTTAAATGGATTTTTTTATTTCTTCAAAAGAAGGCTATTAAGAAATAATTTGTTGTTAATTTAATAATTTATTATTTTACTTGTAGGAAAATGTATTTGAAAATATTGCAAGAAAATATATTAGAAGCTTGGAGATTCTTAGTAAGAGGGACAGAAACAGATACAAACAACGACAGAGATAATAAAAGATCTGAAAGTCCATCCATGCAATATACACTTAAAACCAAAAGGAAATAGATGTCTTTTTCTACTTTTTTTTTCTATTTTTTACACAAGTAATAGCATGGAGGTGTGAAAGTCCAAGGATGAAAAGATAAATAGTATTCCAGGAGTACAAAATAAATCCATTTGCATTCATTATCTCTGAACACCCACAAACACTGGTTGCTTCAAAGTTGAAAAGGTTCTACTGACTTATCTATTCAGTAAATTAAATTTTACCTTCTTACAAATTTCATACAAATTGACTAAGTTTTTTTTTTTTTTTAGTCTCCAATAAATTCACAGGAATGGCTTTCAGATACTTTGTCATGGATTTTCCATTCAGCATTTCTTGTTTGTTTGTTCTTCACCTTATATGATAATTTACCTATAGTACATTTCTAGCCATTGAACAAATAGAGTGAAACTTTATAACAAACTGAAAAAAATAAACCAAAACTACACCTACATATCTTTTGTAACTGCATTCATATTTACGCAGCTGAAATATTTTACCTCTGTGTATGAGGAAAACTTTGGAAAGATACGTAAATGGTATGTTGGATGAAACCAAGCCAGTAAGTCCACAAAGCTTTGCACTGTCAGGATTTTCTTGCTAGCAGTCATTTCAATCTGCCCCATGCCATTTATGATAACAATATTAGCACAAGTAAATTTGGGAGCTTCAGGAAACTGTGAGATGGTTCTCATAAGTGTCTTAAGATTCTGGCGACTTTCATAATATTGATATTTACATCAACTGAAAGCTATAAGAAGGGGAAAAGATCAGTTTTCATTTTTAAGAGTTTTTCAAAGAGTATTAGAGAAGGGATTTCAGCGCTTTGAAAGAACTAAAAAAATCAGAACACCAGTAATACATAAGCAGTGTCAGTGTTTCTGAGTGGGAAGAGAAATAAACCTGTTATTTTTCAATGTTTGGAGCTGCAAATAGTAGAGAGCTCTTTGGTTTGTAGTATGCTTCAAAAAGTGACACAGTTTGATCACGTCATTTCAGATATAAGAAAACTGAAAGATCTCAGTGCAAATACCATGTTAAAACAGAGCCATACCTTTACTATTTCAGTCCTGGTTTTGTAATGTTGAGGCATAAAATAAAGGTCATTGTATGCAGAACCATTCAGAAATTTTTAGTTATTTTTTGTCACCTTCCTCAAAGATTCTTGGCCCTTTCTTCAAGTTGTTTCAGTCTTTATTAGTCATATATAATGTCCAGCATTCATGTTATATAAAGCTCCTGCTGTATCCCTAACCAGAATGCTTATTTAACTAAAAATTTTGATCACTTATTTCAGAAATGAGATGTCGCTTCTTATTCCAACTAAGGATGAGTTTCCCGTTAATAAATCACTCTGTTGGGACAATTGTAGAGAAAGATTGAAGACCTCAAGATATTTTTAATCATTAATATTAGAGCAATTAAAAAAACGTAAAATTACTCTTTTGAGGCTCTTTCTAGTATGTGAATACATGTATCAAATAAAGCTTCTTTTTGTACTCAAAAAGGTTTCAGAACCTCTAAGATGGTATTGCAGCTGTTTGACTTTTCCAGAGCTATCTCTATGGCAACAGTGAAATATACGAAAAGACCTTATTAGCTACATGTATTTAATGCAGACAAGATCTTCTATAAAAATATGCATCATTATATTATAGGATACTGTCTCTTTCTTGTTTAAAAAAGAAAAATAAAAGCATCAGCAATCTCTCTGAGCACTGTTAGCTGTATGGTTTTGTATTGCAGTTCATTCATTGGTTAAGCGATAAGACCAAAGACTGACACTTCTACTTTATCTAACACTACGACACTGCTCCTTCTACTAATTCTGTTGGAATGAAGAGACAAGAAGTTGTAATTACAACATGAAATTGTAACATAGTTTAGATTTGTACAGCATTTTGAGCTGTAGATTGTTCACTTTTTCCCGGTTAATTTTTTTTCAACATTGTGCAGTTATGTTACTGCTCATACTTAATATGAATCTTCCGGTGTTCTTAAGAAGAGGAGAGTGTATATTCCAAAATGTGCCAAGATATTGCTTCTTTCAACTGAAGCTATACTGTTTTGTTTGTAAAATGGTGGTTTGACTAGACAACACAATTTCACTTTTTAAAACATTTTAGATGCAGAGGGCTATTAAGTCTGTGTTGAAGATACAGCCATAAATGCCTAGAAGGATTTTATGAAGGATGCTTAAGATACTCTGTTACTAACACTTTGTATTGTTTTTTTATGGTTTTGGTTTAAGATTCTAAATCATTGTTTAAATAATAAAAAAGTAAAACACATTATGGAATTACTATCAGCCGATTCACGGTAATGAATATGTAAGCTGGATCAAAGGTTGAGTGTCATATTGTTTCAATAAGTACTCAGTAAAGGTCTGCTAACCATTTTTGTTTTGTAATTTTCACATTAATGATTTTCTTGTGTATATAATATATAAAAAGATGGGAACTATTTTCTTACACATACTATGCAATATGTTTGTAAAACTGCAATATTACCAAAATTACAAAAGCTGTGCTTTTGTACTCTTGCTTTATGTAAAACAAATCGTTTTTCTACTTAACAGATTGTCTGTCATAATTGTAGATAACATTACTCAAAAGCAGTACACTAAAACTTTAAGACTTTTTATTTCATTTTCCTCGGGTTTTTTTTTTTTTTTTTTTTTTTTTTTTTTTTTTTATGAAAATAATAGCAAGGTTTTGGAAGTTGGAAATGTCACTTTTTTTCTTGGAAAGATAGAAATTTTGCAGCATGTAATTAACACAGTCTGAAATTTCCTGTATTTCTTTCCTTTGATTTTGCATTTTTATCTGGTGCTACTGTAGAACCATGAATAAATGTGATCTATAAATTAGGGAACATATCAGAATTCACTTCAGGAATAACAAAATGGGAAACTTTCTAAGGGTGGGAGGAGGATGCAGAATAACTGATGAAAAATTGTTGGTTTTTCTAGTTTGTTTTTATTCTTCTGTCTAAATTAGCTGAAAGGTAGTAGCTTTTCTCCTCACTCAACATAATAGAGTTTTGTTTCAAACAAATTTTGAAAACATATACTGCACTTAAACGTAGTTTTTGTGTAAAGAAAATCAGAATATAAAAAAGTATGGGTTTTATTTCTGTATCAGTTTTACTAAAGTTAAAATTCAGAGTCCTGCATCTTTTCTACTGTAAAAGCATATTATACTGTAGAATAAATACAAAATATATGTTTAAACTGCACCAACAAGCTACATGGCAATTACACAGCCATCTCAGAGGTTGTGGTGGTCTCATCAATGCGGACAAGTCCTATCTGGTTTTCAATTGGGATCAATTCTGTTCACCACACAGCCTTCACATAGCTACAGCAAAAAGCAGTGTAAGCATGCAGGTGATTTGTTTGCACTGAGCTCCTTTGTGCTCTGCTATGGTTTTAGCAATATCCACAGTAGCCAAACAGTAGCTAACTGAATAATGCCTAAAAAATTGTAGTTTCTGCACATGAGCAAGAGTTGCATAG